TTCTTTGAAGGCCTCATTTTGTTTTCTGAAAACAGTAGAATGATGTGCTCGACCAAAAAGCTCTATTTTAGTTTCATCTGTCCACAGGACATTCTCCCAGAAGGACTGTGGCTTCCTCAGGTAAGTTTTGTCTGTGTCAGCAGTGGGTCCCCTGAGTCTCCTACCATAGTGCCCCTTGTCATTCAGATGGTGACAGTGTGGGCTGATTCTGTTGCATCCTGTGCCTTCAGGTCAGCTTGAATTTATCTGGAAGTTGATCAAGGTTCTTTATCCACCATTCAAACAATCCTTCGTTACAATCTGTCATCTGTTCTTCTCTTTCATCCACGTCCAGGGAGATTAGCTACAGAGCCATGGGCTGTAAACGTCCTGACAATGTTGTTCACAGTGGACACGGGAACAGCCAGATCTCTGGAGATGGACTTGGAGCCTTGGACTGTCCAGGCTTTTCTACTATTGTGCTTCTCAAATCCTCAGACAGTTCTTTGCTGTTCTTTCTTTTCTCCATGCTCAGTGTGGTCTACATGACACAAACGTCAAGTCAACTTTTCTCCATTTTAACTGGTTGCAAGTGTGATTTCTATATCACCAGCACCTGTTGGTTGCTACAGGTGAGTTTCATTACAAGCTAAAGGAGCATCACCTGCTTGAAATACAACTATTTCTGATGGTTTTGAAAAGGTGATAATGACTCTGTACAGTCCATGTTTGGAGTTCTGTGTGGAATGGATCAGATTTGGCTTTTTTTCTGCTTTTTTGTGTTGTTGCAATGCAAACAAAAGAAATAAACATGAGAACACCAAAGAATTTGTTTGCAACAATTTTCTGGGAGAAGTGCTGAGTTATCTGACAGAAATGGAGGGGTGGCAATATTTTTGGCCATGTAGACCAACACAGAAGTTAGTGTCACCCTGGCTACAAAAGCTAAAGGGATTTTTCCATAGGCTTTTGGATTATTGCAGAAAATAAGCCCTGTGACAAACTGTGGTTTATGACAGGTAATGTTTTGTTCAGCGAGAAAACACCTCTTTTATTATTTTTGAAGCCCAAATACAATTGGCAGAAGTAAAAAGCTTGTAGCTTGATTTAGCGCGCTAACCTCTTCTACAAAGTCCTTTCCTTTTAGTGTGACCTGATCTAGCTGCTGATCATGGCTGTGTCAGTTAGAATAGTTTGAAGTGTGTGAATCTAAAAACAATGAGGCTGTAAAGGTGGACTAGTGATTAGAGCTGATCATGGCTGTGTCAGTTAGAATAGTTTGAAGTGTGTGAATCTAAAAACAATGAGGCTGTAAAGGTGGACTAGTGATTAGATTAGTCTCTGTGTTCGGCGCAATGACATTTAATGTCCCAGACAGCGTCTCTAGTCTCATTTAGCCACTTGTTAGCAACAGCCTTTTTAAAGACACATAAAAGCCTTAAAAATCACAAGTGGAATTTTTACTTATGTATTTTATTTTATTTTATAGAACAAAACATCAAAATGTATTGGCCTTGTGTGAATCACAGACCTTATTTCAGGTGTCCAACAAAAAACCCACTGACTTCAGGGCAAGGAAACTGGAAGTACAAAAATGTTAATTCAGTTCTGGGTTTTAGGACTCACTACTACAGCACTCTTTTTGAATCTATATAATCTAGCATTGAGCCAGGTTTTAACAGATCAAGTGGTCTGTTTAGACAAGCTGACGAGAGCCTCTTGTACTTCAGAACAGCTCCTTATAGTCTGAGCAGCGCTTGTTTTGTTTCTTGCCTCGTGCGTAACACTGAGGCTACAGGTTGTTGTTTGTCCTCCTGACATTCTCAGAACTGATCACGATGATGGCCAACGCTATGAGAATGAGAGCCGGATTGTAAAGGAGTCCTTCTAGGAGCAGAGAAGAAAGCGTGGCTGTGGTAGCTCACTGCAGGCTGCACCCAGTCTTCCCTTGCAGCCTGCTTGTGGAAGAACAGGAACTCTGTTCTGCTTGTCATTGTCTTATTAGAAGACAATGTACCAAGGGGAAGATCCAATTAAACCAGCAATATCATTCTTGAAGGGTGTTAATTCTTTGTTCTGTCTACTTGAATATATTACCACTTACTATAGACCAACTCTTCTTCATGGATCGCTTTCAAGCAGCTCACCACAGAACAGATGATGTATAAATAATGGCATGGTCTCTTCTCTGTAGGTTTTTCTAAATGGTAATCCAGTGCTAAAGTGTCCCCCCACTCCTCCTCATACATACTCCATACTGTCTCTGGAAAAAAGAGCTTTGAAGTAAATTATTTAATATATTTTTAGAATTGTTTTCTATTCCTGTTCTCGTGTCCTATGGCATGCATTCTTCTCACACCTCAAAGTATGATCATGTATATATGTGACATAGAGAAGCAAATCTACATACCAACCTAATAAACAATACCACTGTATAGAAATTGTATTAGCCTGCACATTTCTAAGGCTGTGAAGTTAATTTTATTTTTAAAACTTGCATATAAATGTATATATTTTTTGATTTTTACCCTGCAACTAGGAGGTGTAGAGGACAACTAATCCTGTAATGAGTCACAGAATACATAGTCATGTTAACTGAATCTTGTGTGTACAGCAGAGTTGTAGATATATCTAAGGAGAAGCCTTTCTTTTGTTATTGTTGTTAATGATTTCATCACAGCAACACTGTGTGAATATGTACATAAAGGATTCACCGTGTTGGTCTCTACCTCTTGGGCTCAGTAACCTGGCTTTGTTTACCTCCACACCTTTCTGATTTCATGTGGGGGTGAATTGAAAACACTTGAATATCCATTCAAGATTTTATACTGAGAGAGTAAAGCGTACTCCCCCCCCCCTCCCCACAGACCTTTCCTGCACTAAGTGCAAAGCATTCACCTGACACGTTGAATCATCTGTTTGTATTACAAAACCCTACCAATAGCCAAGGGTTTCCTGACTGTTAGTCGATTTTCACTCTTTGATAGAATAGGACCTGGTGAGGAGGGAGAGTTGCAGTTTCCACCACAGTGGCTGTGTTCAACACTCAGTGTCAACAACTTATTTCATATACCATTCACTTTTAACATATTCACATTAACTGTCTTCCACTTTTAAGTTATTTTTGGGCTACTGAGAGCTAGACTAGTGTTCTGTAGTTCTTTACAAGCTGTACTATGTTTGTTTGGAGCCCAATAGCTTTTGAATCTCTTACTGAGTTGGGGTGTGGCTTTTCTAACATTTCTAACTAAAATTATTAATGACTAAAACATAAACATAAATTCATTCTGTGTAATTTGGTTTAAAATATTTCTCGGAAATAGTTTGCTTTTATAATAGAGCAAGGGACAATACAAATCCAATAAGAGATTTGTTTGTGATTTCTGATTGTTCCTGTCTGAGAACCTGATCTGATTTCATCTATCTTGTCATTTCCATTTATGTATACAGTTGTAATTGGCTGCAGGGTGGGGTTTTTTCTCAATTAACAGCATCATATGGCTTCTTCTGCTTGTTGGAGTACCAATTTTCCCAAGATGATACAGACAGTGCCAACAGAGTTTCCATTTAAATAACTTCTACAGTGGTTCAATACACTGCAGCCTTAGAAATCAAAACGGTAAACCCACAAAATACAAGGATGTTTCACCCTTTTAGCAATGCGTACCAGCATTTATCAAATGAAATACTAATGTATGTGGGTCTGAGAACAAATGTATAGCACAAAGAAACACTGCAAATTCTGAAATGTTGCCAGCTCTAACACAACACAGCAGAAACGCTAAAAACCAACGCACCTGTTAGCCATTCAGTACTGGCTCAACATGAGCTAGTTGATGTGTAACATCCTCATTTTCTGATTTTGATTTTATGAAAGACAGCAGCTTCAAACCATATTCACATTGTTGTGGAAAAACAGCTCATGCAAGTGTTCTCCATTACTGTGGAATTGGTGTGTTGCGATGGTCCTAAGTTGATCACCTATGACCTCAGCTATAGCTTTGTGAACACAGCCGCTGTTATGATTTTAAAGAGCCCATGGCATGCTTTTCCTTGTTTTCTGACTAATCTACAATGTTACAATGGTGAATTATCATCTTAGACGTGACCTAAAGCTCAAAAAAAGGAGGTGTACATATGTCTAGCATTTCTATGCAGAAGCAACTTGGTTTATACGCGTCACGCAAACTCTCACTCGTGAGACTTTTTTTCTAACAAAATAAAATATTACGTGATCCTTGAATGGGCATAAAATCTAGGCTGTTCATGTGAGCTTGCCTGACATCCACCAGTGCCTGCACCATATTGGCAAAATGTTAGACTGCCTCGTTAGTTATGTATGTTTCCAATAAAGCTTATTAAAAAAAAAAAAAAAAAAAAAAAAATTACCGTGGTCTCCACCTGGTTTTGTGGATATATTTTACCTCCTGCTGCTGTACTGTGGAGGAAGTGGAGGAATATACAGGGCTTGAGGTTACTGCATGTCCAGGAATGTTCCTGTACAGTGACTTGCTGTTTTACCTGACTGGGTCTAACCTACGATCAGCCGGCCTGTGAAGCCACCGTGGCAGTTAGCGATCAGCTCATCAAGGCTTGATTCCTCCAGAGCACAGTACCTGTTTGTTGTGACTGCTTCAGGCCAGTGTGTCTGCTGCGTGTGATGTGTTGCTTGTTAACTAGCGGATTAACGACCCATGATGTTATTGTCGGCACTACGCTACCTGTTTGAGTTAATTTCACTACTTTAGGACTGTATGTGGTTATGTGGGGGAAGACACAGCAACCACTGGTTGGATGTACCGACCTTAGAACTACTTGAAAAAGGGAGTGATGTTTCCACTACTTGGTAGGACCTAATGGTAAGTTTAAAAAACAAACAAAAAAAACACAGGCTGCATGTTTGTTAATTACTTGTTTCTGTAACATTAGAGAGTTGTAAGGCTGGAGAGTTTACTCTGTCAGCATTATGCCAGTTAAAATATGGGGTTTCTCAGTTACCCGCTTTGCTTAGTGTTAGACATCTCTTTTCATCGGTACATACACTGTTGTTTACTTGTTTATGGAGGAGAAATTCAACTTAATTAATGCTGTTGTGGTTGGTTGTACTGTCCACTTGTGACACAACACCAGTAGCAGGACCTGTGCGCGTTCGCAAACTATCCTCTTGTTTTTAGGAAGAGGCTCTTTGGTTTTATCATCCTGAAATAATTACAGACTATTTGGAGTTATGAGGGGAGCAAAGATGATCTAGAGGTACCCAAGATTAAACATTAAATTATTGGAAACAAGCAAAATGAGCATGCCTTGGGCACTTTAAAGATGGGAGATATGCTAATAAGGAGTGTCTTTAATGCAAGTCTTTAACAATAAATCCTGATCACATAAAGAACAAACTGAAAATATTTGCTGGGTAATATTTTGGCTTGCAGATTCCATTAACAGGGTAAGGTCACTTCACCTGCAGTGAGGAACAGATAAAACGGTGTGAAAGTGTTGACTCTGTAGACCCCACCTCTCCTTCCTAAAGCATCGTGGACCCCAAGAATGTGAATATGGCAGGAGCCTTTGACTAATTACTTACGTGTTCATCAGACTTTAGCATCCCCTGGAAACATCTGTCCACTCAGTTACACTGTTGTGTATGTTTTTTTTTTTGTGTGTGTGTGTGTGCTTGTTTTCACAGTGGATGTGTTTTTAATTTGCTGGTTTTATTTTTCTCTAAATTTGTATATGCATGTATATCATCAAACTGTTTTTTTGTTTTTTGATTAACCTTGATCAGGCTCACTGTTTGAGTTCTATCACCTCGCCATAGTTTTAAGTGAGATAATCCACTATTATGAAAAATAACCTCTCAGCGACACTGTTATTTATCGTGGCAGATTATCTTTTACCCATTCAGCAAACAATATTCTGACAAAAAGAGATAATGTAAATGTGTCTAATAGAAACTGAATGGGAATTTTCTCAGGAATGAACAAGCTAGCAGTGGTGTGTGTTGTCACTCTCCCTCCACATCGCCTGTATGAACTCTTTGTGTAGATACAGTAGTTTCCTATATGTTTTATTTTGTGTTGGATTTAAGTACTTGAATCAAATGATGCTCATTTTGGAAAACTGTAGAGTAGTAACTGACAGACTTGGTGTGAGACTAACCACAACTCAACCACTACTGGACTATTTGGATTCATATAATTTGCTGTCCTAAACAATGTTTGTATATTTGATGTTTTAATCAGATGCATTGTAATTTGAATAAAAGTTACAGTATATACAGTACTAGATGTATCTATTAAATTCTGAGTTCAAACACTGTAAATCAAAGTTAATGACTAGGTATTCAGTTGACAGTTGTCATTTTGGAAAGTGCAAGATCTACCCAAAAGGTTCCATCTGGAAAATAATGGTGAAAGCATTAAATGTGACATTTGAAGAATGCCATCCTTGTTGTCCATATTTTCATTATTCAACAGCTCAAAAATACACAGCACAAGACCACACTTTGATTCAGACTTCATGTCTTTACTAAAGAGCAGAAATCTCAAACGTGATTTCGTTGCTTCTTTGTCAGATTTGTGGGCTCAGTTGAAAAGAGTTGATTTTAAAATGTTGATGTGCTCTTTGTCACCATTTTACAGCTGCTCCCTTTCCAGTGATTGTATGAAAAGTCAATGTGCATCATGTGATGAATGCAGAAGTTGCAATACCCAAAGTGGCCACTATGAAAAATGTCTTCACAGCCCAGCTCCATTCCTGTGCGTGTTGTATGCCAGAGGTGGAAGTCAGTCACACATGTGCAAGTCTCAAGTCTTAATTTTCAAGTCTCTGTGGTGAGAATCAAGCAAGTCAAGTCGTGTCCCTACTATAAGTCAAGAAAGTCACAACTCATACAAGCTTCTACTGATCTACCCCAGTTTCCACAATTAAATTGGTTAAAAGACTGATTACAAAATGTTTTATTTTAATCATTAACAAAGTGTTGTAGCTTGTTTACACCTTATAAATCTTGCTTATAGTTGATCAATAGCAAGCCTCCTATATGAACAACGTTGTAGTTCTATAGCTGAAACCATAAGTACAACACAAAAAAATTACAATACGATTTTAGGACTCCTGCCAGGGCAGGAAATGAATATTGTCAACAAGATCTGTATTCTTTTTTTCTCTCTTCCATTAATTTCAATCTGGAGGCTGCTTTATGACGAGTGTCAGGACTAGTGAAACTTTTCATAAACCGCCTCTGACTGTTAACTGTATATTCATAGGCTATAAACCCATCCTTAGCTATTAAATAAAAAATGTGTTTGTGCCTTTCATTGCTATCAGAAACTTCTCAATAAAATACGTAGCTGATTTGAAGTCAGGTCTAACAGCTTAAACTTAACACAAACTTTCTGGCCAACATTTGAACAGCCAATAAGTTAGCTATCGTCAGCTGGAAAAACACACTCAAGTAGCATTACTTACCTTTCTTTGTGAGTTCTGTAGTGATGGATGATGATGATGTGTTACTGATTTTTGCACTGTGGATTCTGCATACCACTGTTCTTTTCATACTATGACTACTGTCAACATAATCCTTGAATCCAAATTCTATTATTTTTGGACTAGGCCCCTTCAGTAGCTGCATTCTGTGGCCGGTGTTGCCCTCTGCTGGTCTTGTAGGTTGGCAGGTTTGCTTTGGGAAACCCCCTTCAGTCTGTCACTGTAGTATCCATGATTTCACCCATTTAGTGCAGTTTCTTGTTTTTCACCTTGACATCTTCCTTTCTTTTTCCACAACCAAAAGACCAAGAGCAGAGAATGACGGCGTCATTTGCAGCTTATTCTCAGACATAGTCTCGATTAGAAGCAGCTATAAACAACAGCTGTGTTGAACAAAAGCTGGTTTGTTTACGCTTGTATTTCCACAGGCTCTAAAAAGACTGTGTGGTTCAGTGGGTAGAGCAGTTGTCTCCTAACCAGAGGGTTGGAGGTTCGAATCTTGGTCCCTCCAGTGCACATGTCAAAGTGTCCTTGGGCAAAACACTGAACCCCCCTTGTTGCCATCAGTTGAGTTGGCGCCGCAGATGGCTGCCTCGGTTCTGTACCAGAAACAAATTCCTTGTGTGTAACATACTTGGCCAATAAAGGTTGTTATTGTTATGTTTCTTTTATTATACCTACCATTTTCATGGAAACCACAATAACCACTTCCATCTGTCTCTTCATTGTGTATAACATGAATTATATTTATTGTACATTCACTGGCAATTCTGTACATGATCGTAGAGAGACAGTGGATTGTGAAATGAATAAAGATCCACACTACATACATAACTGTCATAGTACCAAAGATGTATGTGCTGAGGAAAAGGAGTCAAAATATGTCACAAACATTATATGAACAACTACATCCATACAGTCTTAACATTACAGTGTATCAGATTACTGAGATAACAGTAAATGTCTAAAAATTCATATGTGTTTCTATATGTTAGGCTCCTATATATGGAGCTGAAATATTTCATAGCTTGCTTCATACAATATATTACAAGGATTTTCACATAAAATAATGATTATTTACTCGCTCCTCCTCTTTGTTTGGTGATGTCTGGCCATTTGTGTGCTCTTCTTTCCATCACAAGAAAGCATCACTTGTTTTTTCTGATAGCTGAAAAACACATCAAAATGTTATAACTACAGACCTAATTTCATTTTACATTTTAGTCTAATTGGCATTTTGATTAACTGGCACACTGTGGTGGTGGTTAGCCCCATCGGCACACAGCAAGACATATATCAGACAAACAGGAAACCCATGCACACTTCACCGCTAGTTTCAGCAATACTGTAATTCATGTTGGCACCAATAACATAAGGTGAAGTGGCCTGAGATCACAAAAGCTAGCCCAGCTGGGACATTTGTGTTTTCCAGGAAGATGAGCATTGCCAGCACTGATCGGTTGTCTGTGGTCCCTTACCCGTGCGAGATAATGATGAGATGTACAGCAGGCTTACTTCACTGAACCACTAATTAGCTCATCACTGTAGTGAGCAGGGATTTGTTTTGTTGATGACTGTCCTTCTTACTGGGGCCACTGACCTGCTGAGAGCAGACAGCCATCATCTTACTGGAGTCAGGTTTGACGTTAGGGACTTGGCACTCAGCAGGTCACAGGGGATTAGAGAGCCTGCAGTATCTTAGTTAATATTCCCAGCCAGGGAAATCCTTAGTATATAGGCTGTCAGACTGAAAGCCAAGTCTGTGACACTCAGGCTGTCTTCCTCCTTCACCTGGTACACACAATAATCTGCATATGACTTGTTTGTGTGAAGCTTGACTCTGGCTTCTGAGGTCACCTGAGGCCCGCTGTTTTGGAGACATTCTTGTGCAAAATAAGCTGAAAGCATTACAGTTACCTCCATTTTCTAGTGCTAACTCCATATAACATGGAAGGCAAAGAAAAGAAGGCACTTTGTTGTTCCCGCTCATGCTCAGTGGTCTCTGCCTTGCTGTGAAAGTCACCACTGTCAGTCTGTGGAGCCGTTTCTAAATAAACCACTGTGCGCATATATTTTATAATGAAGGAACATACCGTTGTGATTAAATATCCTGAGTGATCCGGGACACAGTCTGAGGGGAAAGCAGAGCCGGTCTCCTTTCTGTCCTGAACAGACGCTGTGGGATATGTCAGAGAAGCTTCCCTCTGGTTCTCAGTGCGGCGGGAGACGGTCTGCTGTCTCTCATCCTGCGGTGTAGCGTCTTTATGGAACAGCAGGGGAGAAATGCCTAACTGCAGGAGAACAGAAAGCACTTTAAGACTCTTGACACACTACCTGCCTGATGAGTTCATCATACTGATTTGACTGACTTGCCTCTCTGTAGAAATCTCGTCCTGGCATGGATATAGAGGTGAGCATGACTTTATCACCACTCTGTCTAATCTTCTGGACAATGTCCTCATGCTCCAAGGATTCAACAGGTTCCCCATTGACAGCCAGCAGCAGCTCTCCATCCTCCATCCCTGCCTCCTCAGCTGGACTGTCCACATCTACCTCCCTCAGCATATGAACTGAGACACAGTATATTTGGACAAGAAGGAACACGTGTTCACTTAAATCACTGGATTATTACAGAGAAAAGTTACATCTGCATGGGGTAAGACCTGTAAAGGTGCAATTTACTGTCAGGCAGCTCAGTACCAAGATGTTTTATGGTGTAGCCCAAAGATTAACTCACTTTTAGATATGAATCGTAACCGTTTGGTATTATTTTTGACTGGGAGCCAGTCAAAACTCTCACATGAACTTTTCCTACACCAACTGTACACAGTCTCTCAAAGCCTTCACCCTGACAGGATAAGAGGACCGGAGCCTTCTGGGGCAATGAGTCCAATGTGTGGTTGAACAGTCCAGTCTCAAACTGGTTCCTCACAAAGTAGCAGTTCATTGCAGTTTGTTTTTCCAATTCCTCATTCAACCACCAGAATAGTCCGGTCTGTTCAACGGAAAATAACTGAAAATACCTGCCTGGGTTTTACCTTCTGTCCAACAGAAGAAACAGAGAACAGGCAGCAAACAAACCAAATTTTAACCAAGAAGCAGGCAAGAATAGTAGAATTTGGATTCAAGGATTATGTTGATGATAGTATTTACAGCATATTTATAACCATCTTCACTAGCCACCTAACCAACACCTAAGTCCTCATTATACAAACTGTTGAGTTTGAACAGCATGGGGTACAGGGCAGCTTGTTGTTGGCTGACAATAAGATGTTTTTTAAAGTGAAATGTGAAGTTTTTGACTGATCTCATGTGGCATTTCTGAATAAAGTGGGTAATCTTTACAAAATACAACAAAATACAGATTATTTTACCCTGATATCGGCATGTTAGCCTGAATTAGTTATACTACGCTGGCAGAACAAGGCTCTGGTCCACGGGAGAGGTTGGCTCATCTAGCCAAGGTCCCTTCATTATTTGATGTGGTAAAGACAGCGGGATGTGTGACTGGTACCCTTGTATGCTGTGTGAAGTGTGTTCAGGTTGTGTGACTACACAGGTGCCTGCTACCCTGTTCACTAGCCTCAGTCCACTGAGGTTTACTAGCTTTGTTGATTTAGCTCTCAATAATGGATGCTGTCTTTGAATTGTAAAAAAAAAAAAGTTTTATAGTAAATTATTTTTATAGTTCCATCTTAAATTTCCATTTTTCATTTTCAACACCAACCTGAATTGCTTGTTTTTCTTTCAATAGCAATTAACCAGTTTTCTTTAATCTAGATATTTGAATAAACAACAAAATGCCTTGTTTTTGATAATGTGTGAATTTAAGGTCATTGGTGTTTCCTAGTTGTATCAATTACTGGAGTACAAATCCCCAGGAGCTGTTGTTGGCAGTACACACAGCAGCCTGTGAAATGTACTCAAAGGTGCATTTATTCCTTTGAGTGCTTACATTTCTACTGTTTAATTTCCTTGTTTATGCTCTCTTTTGTCTTCTTCTGTCAGACATTTAATAACGATTGAGATATCACTACTGATGATTGGCAGACTGTGGAAGTGGAAGTTAAGCTTGTGCCTGCAGCCCAGTTCTACAGTGACTGGGATTTATACAGAACTGTGTGCATGAAAGGCTCTGTAAGCTTGTTTTTCTGTCTTAGCTCCGACTCTACAGAATGATTGGTTGTTGTGGACAGAGATGGAGGTTGTTCCCTCAGTTCTTCACTACCTTTGTGTAATTTGAGGTACATGTTACATCAGGCTTACTCTGCACCAGTCGTCTTTATAAAATATAGAGCTGGCTCTCCCAGCTGTGTGTGTGTACGGATGTGTGTCTCACCTATCCGTCGAGTACCTGCCAGCCTCTCTTGTCTTAGCAGGAAGCCGTACCCATCGGGGCCTTTAACCAGGTGTATGTTCTTGGCAGCATGGGGGAGGCTGCAGCGTTCCGCCACCACTGGCAGGATGGGCATCTTCCTCCTGACATAACAAGACTCACTCTCACTGTCAATGACCAACACGGTCACTGAGTCCCCACTCTTCTTCACCTGACGACAAAACATAGTGCAGGGGTCACACACATGTGGAGGTTAACAAAGCACACAGGTTAGATGTGATTGAGGAGACCGGGCTCATACAGTTCTGCTTAGAGTGGAGTGTGTGAATGTTGACGCCAGAACCCCGTTGATCCAGATCAGTCTGTCCCCAGTGCGGACACCAGCTTTCTCTGCTGGACTGTCAGTCACAGTGCTCACAATGTACTGGCCCTTCCGACCTGCTGACACATCCATATCATCATCATGAGTATTTGTATGATGTTGTATAAAACTACTGTATTTTGTAACAAGATAAACCAGGGTTTAGGCCACTCTCAGCTTTTAATAAATGATAAGGTTGAATAGTAATATGGCAGAACATCCAGTGATTCTACTGAACAGGTTGTGCTACTACTACAGTTTTCTATCTGAGAGTGAGCTGACAAGATGGATTTCAATCTGAAGTCTGTGTGTTCAGACCAGAGCTGGAGTCAGATAGGGTTAGCCTAGATTAGCCTAAAGACTGCAACCAGCTGGGCTGATTCTGTCTGAAGTCTACATACAGGTTCAGGTCTGATACAGAAGACATTTTAAAAACAAACACACAGAAGCTATCACCATTTTCAATAATTCCAGGGTCTATATGAACACAGCATCACGAATCTCAGCTTCAGGGCCATTTTATACAGGATGAACTATCAGTGCAATGAAGCAAATCATTAACGGTCAGTGGAGCATCACAACAGTTGCTGACATAGGGGCCGTCTTTCACATAAAACAGTTAAAGCCCAGAGGTTCTGTGTGGACATGCTCTTCAGAGAAGCTGTAATTGAGCAGTTAACAGTGTGTTGTGTTGGTACCTTCCATGATGGTTATCCCCAGGCCGTGCTCCGAGTGTCTGCTGATGTGACACAGTCTGGGTCTGGACCAGCGGTCCCCTTTGGAGGCCGCAGCCAGCGCCTTCAGGTCCAGACCCATACGCACTGCCTGGGGAACAGCAACATTACACAGAATTTAAGTGTTTACAACACAAATGTACAACATAAACTGTGGGAGAAATGGATACTCCATGTAAGGCTCACACAGCTCTTTCCACTTCTTTTGACTCAACCTTACTCTTAATGCTCACTTTTCTAAGGTCACCAAACTTGTTATGTTCCAGTGAAGGGAAGTTATCAAATATATCAATCAAATACAGGTGCAGTGAAGGTGTCCTACTCACTGATTCTCAGTGGCATGTCACTGCTGCGAGACTGAAAACAATATGTTCCCTCCCCACTGATATATGATGGCTCTTACTGACATACCCTGTGATGTCTGTCACACAAAAACAGAATGCTGCTTGTCTTCCACTGACAGGTGACACATCTTACTGACAGGTACCATGAAAACCAGTAACATATGCTGTAATGTTGTAATGTAACCACTCTTTGTGCTGTCACTGATGCGATGAACTCTAAACTATTGGGCCCAGCTACAGCTACATATGAGCCCAGTACACTTAGCATAGCAAGCGTAGCCTATTGGACAACCTCCAATGCTAATTATGGGCATTCATTTACATTTTCCTTTATTAATGTAAGATGAGTCAGTGTAACAGCAGGGGAAGCTGTCTTAGATATATATACACATACTGTAGTTACCACAGCAGCAAACTATATGTCAGTAAGACAATATACTCTAATAAGAAGTGGTATGTGCCAGTAGTCAGCAGTGGCACTAAGAACCAGCATATGGCTCAAATAAGAGAAGCATCAGAACATCATCTGTTAGTAGAGCACATCTGACAAGCTGTTTCTACCTGGCACACAGTGGCATACGTATGTCAGTAAGAATTGCCATACACTGGTGGGAAGTGCCATATGGCAGTCAAACAGTAGAGACAATAATGAGCAGAGACTCAGGATCAGAATATGATAAAAGAGTGATGCGCTCTCAGCCACTTTTCACAGTTGTTGTTATTACATATGTGTGCTGGCCATATCAGCCACTTTTCACAGTTGTTATTACATATGTGTGCTGGCCATGTGACACTCCTGAATGGGACAGGACCATCATTAAGGCTGGTGCCCATCCTGACATCTGCTGTGAAAGCAACTTGTTGTCTACACCATGTGGGATGGTGTGGGTAGTGATGGAAACGGCTGTAATGTCATGTTAATCCTCATACCTGTTCATACTCTGCTCTCCTCAACACCAGGAGAAACAGGTGTAGGCCACATGACTGGATCATCCTCACCACCTGTCAGGTAAACACAGAGAGGCAAAAACAGTGGACCACTCTGCTGTTTCTTTCTCAGTCATCATCCAGTTAAACACACAGAACATGTGTCCTGGGCTGCTTTGACCTGACCTCCAATAAAATACTTCCGTGTATGAAGTGTCTCAGAGTGGTACAGTTTATACACAAGTAATGTCTATTACTTCTGTACTGTGTAATGGTGTGCAGACCTGGGGTCACTCCACTAACAGCAACAGGTTGAACAACAACAGACTGTAAAATACAACTTGTTTTAACTTAAAAAAAGAAGAAGAAGTTAAAGAGCTGCCTTGAAATTTGACATTGTATCGAAACTATATTTTGTTCATGCAACACCAATAAATGTTATGTTGTTTGGATTTCGCATGTTGTCTGAGTTGGTTGATTCAGTTCATTTCAGAGGTTCAAACTGCCTGACCTGCTGGATTTACTGACATGATATGATGAAAATCTTAACGGGAAGATTCCGACTACTAAAACCTGATGTCGGAGCAGCTGATGGTTTTATCATCTGCCTGGCCTGCAGCGACCACACAAGCCAGATAAAGGCAAGTTTTATTTTGGCCTTTAGACAAAAGGTGACAAGTGTGCTTATCTGTACTTTACTTATGTTTTTGGTAGTTGTTTGAGCTTGCAAATCTAATTCAGCTGAACATGTATGGAGAACCGCATAGTCACTTGGCTACATCAGACCTGCATTAGCTTTATTTCCTTCCTTCCCACTTGGGGATCAGTGCAACAGTTATAGAATTACTCTATGTGCTGCAATAGGCAAAATACCTCAGCCCTATTATATTGTTATTTCACAAGTGATTCCTCAAGAACTTGGGATTTAACCCTAACCTCTCAAAACACTGTCTCGTGTTTCAATGAGCATGTGATCAAGTGATTAACAGAAAAGTGTAAAACAATGCTAAATGTTTGCCAAATCATTTGGTGGTAATGAAAATGTATTCAGAAGTCCTCTGTTAATAATGGTGTTAAGTTCATCTTTCAATAGGAAATAATATTGGTATCACTTCTGGGATCACTGATCCTGACCTGGTGTTACTTGGTATCAGATAAAATCCAAATTTCACGCTTTGTTAAATTCTCTATGTGTGGGGGTAGGGACGGAAGTCAACACTAACCTTGATCACTGTCAACATAGCTAATGTCCCCACTTGTTGTGGACAAGTGGGGACATTTTTGGACAGATGGTGAAGTCCAGTAATAGTTCACAGGGTCACCAATTTCAGTAAAAAATAACCCTGTGGACAGCATGGGTATGCACAACAAACTATATCTGATATCTTACAGTTCCCAAATTCTAGACACTGACCCTTTTGAAGTCCATGTTGTCTACGTATTCCTCATTGACCTCCAGCACTCTGTCTCCGTCTGTGAGGCCACTGTGGTCTGCAGGACTCCATGGCTCCACATCTCTGATCTCAAGGCCTCGGCCACGCTGGTCCACCTGTAGGTAGAAGCCAAAGCTCTGTCCCTCCAGACGCTTCAGATGGCACAGTCTGGGCACCACTCTCTGATCCAGCTCTGCACACGGAGTTAGATAAAGATCATCAGCACTGGAGGGGGACACTGGGAATTGGCTTTAGGACAGAAGGTTTGCAAGAGAAGGTGTGTATGTGAAGCCTGTGTATGAAATGTCACCAGGATCATCAGTGATGACAAGAGCCGGATTATCAATCCCTTCCTTTGGATTGAAGGTAAAACTGGAGAAAAGAGAAATGAAAAATGGTCAAAGTCAGTATAATAGTGTGGCACTCATGGTCATATTAAACCAGCATACCAAATGTCGGTTACATTTTTAATGAACCATACCAGTGTTTTGGAAGTTGTATTTCATCCTACGACCATTTTCATAAGTGTTGAGCATGTCAAAGTACTTTTTATATGTTCGTTTATATAGCAGAGATTTACATTCATTTCACTGTACCATCTTGTGTGGCACTGTGTGATTGTTAAGTATAAAGATAGTTGCCCCCCATTTAATTTTGAACTGTTGTGATGAGTGGGGCTGGGGCTGTTGAAGAACCTACTGTCGAAGTTTATTTACTCCTTAGCCTAGTGTGTGTTGTAGAGGAAAAGGATTGTCTATGCCCGTATACTCCACCTCACCCCCAGGGGGCACCCAATGCCTGAAGCATCCGTAGTTGACGCCAGTCAAAGAAGGGTAGTCAGTACGGGATGAGCGAGTCTCCATGGTTTACAGAAATAAATGTGTTGCATCAAGAGTGAGCAGCCCCTCATTCTTTAGCCTTGTAACACTTGCAATATGGAGCAGTGTGTCTGAGGTTTCTTGGTGGTGAATATTCATCAGTGTACAGCATGTTCATGAGTATCCTGATGTACAGTAGTGATTCCCCCTGAAATTATTGGCTCTAAGTAATGTGCTGCTGAAGTATCCAGACCTATCTGCACAGATAAGAAGTCCTCCACATCTGAGGTTGCAGTTCACATTTAATCTGCTTCACTGTTATTAAAGTTATGTCATCACTGCATGGCAATGAACTTAACATACTGTCAGTGGATCTCCGTGTCTTTGGTAGAGAAACATTCCACCAAAATCTGCTGGCAGTGTGTTCATTGTGAGTATCAAACACATGCTTAACAGGAGGTATTCTGACCTCACCGTGGAAGGTCCATGACATTCTGGCAACCTGTGGGAGTGACAGACACACAGTGAGAAACCTGTGCTTTCCTGCAGCTGCAGACAGCAGCAGCCTCAAAGACTCAAATGCATTTAGGTAAACTCAAGTCCCATGCCTTTTACCAAATGGTGTAAATTTTTAGTGAATGATAACAACCACGGAAGTGTGCTTCACCCTGTACCAGCACCTCCTGTCACTGTAATGACCTCTGCTGCTCTGGCCCCAATTTTTTTTTTCCCACAGGGCCCGGCCTTAGCAGCCCAGTGTCACACCCAAAGTAGCTCATTCAATATGTACTGAGACAATGAACATTACTGGAAGGAACAAAAAACACTGCATGAGTATATTTTTCTCAGGGCCTCGATATGAGCTAAACAGAGCACAAAGAGGGCAGCTTTATCTGTTTTTCAAGACAATCAATCAAGACCTGAGTCAACTCCACATGCTACATCTACACTTAAAACTACAGAGACTCCAGTGACACAGCCTGACTTTATGGCATGAGAAAAATGTCAGCTAATTTTCTCAAGGTGTGGACTGAATGTCGAACCAATTCTTCTCCATTTGGCCAACAGGACTGGACTGAAGGTCTCTGATGACACCCATACAGTACTTGCTTAACCCTCACTAGTCAATGGTGAATGACTCACCGGCTAACTGAAACATTCAATCTACGTATAACAGGAGGGATGGCTGACTGACTCAACTGTCAAATTGTTAAATATAAACCCCTTGCCAAGCCGTTAACTCACTTGTGGCAATGCTTGACATCCAGAGCAACTGGTCAATACAAGGAAGCTGTATATAGAAGTTCTAGTGAAAAAATATATCCGATACCTTTTGTGTGAACATACAGTACAGAGTAAATGGCACTAATATACTTAGTTTGATGTTATGTGATTAGGATTGTTCTCCATGCCTGTTTCACTGATGACTGTTGTTTTGTGGATTGTGTTTTGTGTTGCTTTAAACATGCATTTAACACTCTTGGAAGAAGCAATCAGACAATGTATAAAAATGCACATAAGCAGAGTGTATGGGAAGATGCACCTGCCATCTTATTTCCTTGAATTTCATCTTGACTACAGTTCAGCTCTCTGGTGAAATGCAACCAGAAAGGATCAGTGAAAGTATGAAACAGTGCAGGATGAAACTGTCGGGCCAGCCTGCTGTCCAGTAAGAGTCAGACTGTACTCAGTCTGTCTTTTGTTACAACATTTGTGTTACTGTATCCAACTGCCAGATGGTCGGTTCTCACAAATATAGTTCACAAGTGATCAACACAGTGACTATGTGCAATATAAACTGTTACGAGAGGCTTTGATCTTACAAACCAGAACAGAGCTACTCCCAGCTGTCTTCGTGGAGACACTGCTGCCATGACAGCAACTAATCAGGCACCACATCAAGAAATACAGGGTGGCCCATGGAAAAATAGCCTGCCAAGATGAACGAGCAAGTGGATTGTTTTGGAAGCAGGCTACCTTTCAGTGGCCCACCGTGTATAACTGCGAGGCCAGAGCTGATGTGCACAATGGGACTGGTTTGCAGAGTAAGCCATGATGAAAGTATGGTTAACTGCTGTGGCTTCAGCAGTGTGATGCATTGTTTACATCCATTAAAACATCAGAGCCCACTACAGTAAATACATAGAAAGTGATGATTGGTGTGAATGAAGGCTAACAGTGACATTAATGTACTGTAGGTGTCATCCCTCTCTTTCGCCACATGGCGTGGGTGTTTCTGCACTCAGAGAACTGACTCACTCAGCTCCGCTGGTGGCAGCAGAGCTGGGATCAGTGTTGTCTGGTGGCACTCTATCGGTGTGGAGTTTACATGTTCTTCCCATGCCTGTGTGGGTTTTCTGTGCTTCCTCCAACATTCCAAAGACATAGAGGTTAGATTGAGTGGTGACTCTAAATTCTCTGTGTGGGTGAATGTGAGTGTGTGTGGTCTGTCTCTAAGTGTCAGCCGTGTGATAGACTGGTCATCTTTACCCAGTGCTAATCTACCTGCATGCAATATTGGACATTTAAAATTCCCATTGAAGAGCTGAGGCGTGACACAGAACGTCTGCCAAAATAAGGGATTCAGTGAGGGTACTTGCCACCCAGAAGTATTTTCTCCACGTTCAAGGTTTTCATTTAATGACACCTGAAGTATTCCTTGAGAGGAAAACAGGAGTCTTTTTGATAGTTTAGCACTAGGGCAGGTTTATGTGACAGCCATGAGTTTGAATCATTTCAGCTTTGTTTCTGAGAAACTGTGTCAGTTTTGGAAAGCGGAAAACTCTGGATACGTCACCAGCGTTGCCATGGCAATAAACACCAAGACAATTTTTCAGAAAATTTTAAAGTTAATGTTTACTCCTGTGCTGAGTGATCTTTAATATATAATTAGTTACTACATACCTAGACAAACAGGTGGATGCAGCTCCCAGGATTTTCAAAGTAAATGTAGAGTAATTGTCCATTTTGCTGCAGGACACACTGATACCGGTGAGCTTGGAGACACGTTTCAAACTAATTGTTTAATACAATATTAACATTATGAATGATGTTTTATTATCGTTTACATAATATTCCCCAGTCTGCTTGTCAAACAGCAGAAGTTAACCCATTACTGTTGAGGAAATATGGAGACCAGAAGAACAAACCGACTGCACTGACTGCCTACCTCATTGTAGCTTTCAGTCATTTTTGTCATGATGTGTTTCCACTATCAGAACCTAACCATCACCGAGCATAGCATCCGGGTTTGGAACAAACAGTTCTGTGTTTTATTTTTCCACTGTACTTTCTGCGTCTGTCTCTGTTTAGAGGAGGGAGGGGCTGCTCCCCTCTCACACATGCAGTCAGCTGTGTTTACATGTGGTGCTTGTACTGCTAATGCTTGAGGTGTGAAGATGTTGGCATTTAACCAATTACCAGCTCTGTGTGCTTGCACCCCCTCCCCCCTGGTGTTCCTGAAGCTTGATTTTAGTACTACCTCCTGAGGAGTGCTCCCAGACCTTACCCGCAAAGTGGGTCGAGTGTAGTGGGAACAAACACAGAACCCATGACGAGTGTTACTGGGTGCTACACATTTCAGTAGGTAGTATGGAAAAACTCCTATAGGGTTCATATTGTGCTTTTTGTTAAAAATTGTTATTTATTTACTTCAGTAAATGATGGGTCATGACACATGATAGTAGATCAGATTTGGTGTTGGTTTGGGTCTGAACATAAAGATAAAAATATAGACTGTCACCAGACCTCACATCTTTAAATCTGAACCTGAGAAAATGTACTTAGCTATCTAAGTCCCTCCACTGGAAGCTCCAGTGAATAGTTCATGTCAAGGTAAATGGCTGCATGCCTGGCAATCAGTGACCCGAATACCAAGAACTTTCTCTAGTAGAAACAGTCAAGATATAAGGGACCCCACACATGGGTTTACTCAGGGCTCCCAAATCACCACATCTGCACCATCCACAAACACACAGAGGAAACAAAACCCAAATTGAAAGCCTTCCAGCTGGTCTCACACTCAGCACTTTACTGCTGAGCCTCCTGCTGCAGTTCAGCCTTCAGCTTTTTCTAATTTTTTATTTGTGAATGATTGCTATTTGCTATAACCTTCGTTAATGAACACAGTGATGAGGGAACCATCAAGATGTCATTGCTGAGCTCAAGGCTCTTTGCTCTGTGTGAGGACTGAGCTGTGTGCAGGCAGCAGGTTACACTCAGCAGACAGAACATTATCTCTCAGTGGAACATCATCTCTCCACAGGCCTGTCAAAGCCTTAGCGTTACTGCCATACACATGAGTATTTAACCAGGAAGAGAACAGGTAGAGTCATTGTGTGGTGTTAAATCCAGCACATGTATGAGATGTAGCACCCGTTTGACACAACACACTAGCAGTTCCTAAAACCAACAAAAGACTTTACACAGTACAAAGCTGAATGTGACTCACCACCGCAGCCATGAACACCAAGCAGAACGGAAGTTTACATTAGAACAGTCAAACCATGGAAAGTCATGTGTTTGTGAAGCAGGAAGAGAAAGCACCAACCTGTGGAGGTGCTCATGGAGTCCTGTGTGTGAGTGTGTCCCTGCTCTGACTAACGGACAAGGTCCACAGCACACAGAGACAATAAAAGAGGCTGTCAGCAGGTGAGATGGTGGCTCCTTTCTCCACAGGGTTAAACATTTACTCAGTGTTGTAATACCCCAGATCTTTAATTTGACAGCTCTGAATAACGAAGGAGTCTGTTTTTCTTCAATAAGTGCTGATTTATTTTAACCACAAGTAAAAATTACAAACATGACCCAGGTTGCTACCCCTTCCAGAGACACACACACAGGCTGCTGGAAAGTGGAGTCCCTGGCCACACAGAGCCTAATACATTTATAAGTTTTGGGCTAACCCCTTACCGAGATGAAGTCAGTCCGAAGTCTCCATCTCTTATCTAGTGCGCCACATGCTTGGAGCAGCTGCATTTCTACCTAGTCATAACAAAATGAAGAATCTCAATGTGTGTGTATGTTGTCACATGGTGTGTAGCTAAGGCATTCATTCATTTATTTAGACATAATATTCTAACACAAGATTAATACAAGAAAAGAATTAGTGTCATGATTCACTTTTCAGAATCAACATTCTGTCTGCTAACCTTGAAACAAAACAGACTAGAGCAGACTTTAAATCTTACTAAATTGTATTACTAACACATGAATGTTTAGACAATTATCTAACGGATTTACTAATATCTAACAGTGTCATAGAGAAACTATGCGCTGAGACCAGTGAAGCTTCTAAAGTCTTGCTACACTGGTCACCTGTCATCACATCAGAAGTTAGACCAACATGTGCCGCACACACAAAGTGAATGTGTGGCCTACAGCAGACAGGCGACATCTGAAAATCACCTTTTTCTGTTTCTTAATTATGAAAATTGTGTTTAATAAAATTACTCACTAAAGCACTTACAGCTGGGCTGAGAGCCAATAATAACCAATCAGATCCTCTCATTCTCTTTAACCCTTTAAATCTTGCAGAGCTGAGGCCGACTAACTATGAAGTGAAAATATATAGTGATGTTGATATACGGCGTCCCAGCACTGTCTTTAAAGGCAAAATATGTATTTACATTTCAACAGAGACCGATACTTCTGTCAGTGTGGAGCTGAAGTTATTTAAGAAGATAATTATGTGAAACAGTCAGTTGTATGTATTAAATCAACCTATTAACCTGGCTGCAATATAGAGATAATGAAATTATCTGAAGGTCTGGGGTGGGACCTGACCTGAACTACACCTCTTCTGTTTCTATAATATTTATAGTTCCCAGTGATTTAGCAGTGCTGGGGCTGCATCTCCCTCTCTGGCCCACGCTGGAATGAATCACTCAATCAATGAATTAGTAAACTCAAGATTTTCTTCTTCATGCTTCCAAAACTAATCTAAGGTATAAAAATGGCAGTATTTACACACTGGCCTGTCTGAGAAGGATGGCGCGGACACTGAAATTAAACCCAATTAAAAGTCATGCTAGTTACAGGTGATTTATTTATTTATTTTTACTTTGGGTCATCTCAACAAATCGCACATAACAATGACAAAACAGGCAGAGTTAAAACAACAGCAGCCCAACAAGGAGAGCTCTCCTTGTTGAGGTACAGTTCTCCAGAAATGAACCATAGGCATACATCTGAATCTGAATCTACAACAACAAAAGAACAGAATTTGACATAGGAATAAATTAATAAGAAATGTCTTTTTGCAGTAGAACAGGAAAGCAAAAGGTCTGGCAACACTTGCAGCATACAGAGCAGCTTTAATGCAAAGATAAAAGACCAACGCATGTCAGCACTGAATAGACCCTGACGAAGAATTTATGCTGAAGCACATTGGTTTTGGAACAATGCAAGTGTTGCTAGACCTTTTGCTTTCCAGTTTGTGCCTCCACATACAATAAATCCAAATGTGTGTAGCAGAGCTTTATTACCCATCTCACAACCCCTCCAATTTATCTTACCATTTGGAGGGTCCCCACACCTAAACTAGCTAATTGTATATAAAAAAATTTCTAACTTAAGTATCAATGATTCAGGATTCATCTTGTTATATAAAACCAATCACAGAAGACACTTTACTCAAGAATGAGTACTACAAGCACTGTAGAATTTGTTGATATACTGTAGGTATGGAAACATTTTGAACGATAACCATTGTTGTGTGTGGTTGTGCGACTGTGACTGAGTATGGGGACGGAAGACTATCTAACCAGCCGTTTGATACCAGGGTTGGCTTTTGACAGTCTGACACATTTCAGTAGGTACCAAAAGTACTGATGTTGAATGCTCGTCCCTACTGCCAACACAGATGGAGTAGGTCAAACTAACTCCAGCACCACTGGTGGTGTTAAAATAAGGCAGGTGAGAGGGATGGGTGGACCCGGGCATGACCAGGAGTGGCCTCCGCTGTTGGACAGTGGTGTCCCACAGCCAAAGTTAGCCAAAAAAAAAAAAAAAAAAAAAAAAACAAAAAAAAAAAAGAGGTTCGTGATATTTTATTTAAATAAAATAAACAATTGGATTCTTAATAATGTTTGGTTTATTATTTTATAGAACTAGGGGTTCAATTTACTTTTTACATGTATTTCAAATGTGCCAACCCTCTGAGTCTGTGCCCTAGCCTGCCCACCCCACATTTTCTAGATACATCCCTGCTTAAACGGAAAGGAAGACAAATCTGTTGATAGAACAACAAAGACTAATCTTACTTGAATGCAAACACAGCAGAGATATTTAACTGACTGAAATAAACCAGTACATGGAAAAACAATAATGTACAGTCACACTTGGTTGATTTGAAATGTACATTACAAATATTATCAATATGGCTTTGCATAGATTTGACTGTCAAAAATCTGGAAGACTTCAGGGATGCAGTGATCAGGCTTCTCTCTCCTATCAGCACTGAGAATTGATCCCAGAACAATGCTCTCTTTTCTCACATTTACATTCACTGGTTAATGACACATGGTCAACATGTTTTACAGTAAAGGCCTACTACAGCCTTTACATTAAAATTCATTTGCAGGAAGTGGTAAGTTAGGATCAGCAGCATATAGACAGAAGAGAAAACCTGAAAATGGGGCCTGGTGTGGTCGTAAACCCGAGTTGGCCCCCTGCTGTGACTGAATGACTGAAGCTGAGAGCGCAGAATTTCACAGTGACACCGCTGAAATGCATCAGCTACACACCAACAGCCATAACATTATGACCACTGGCAGGGGAAGTGAATAACACTGAACACCTGTTACAGGGGGACCTCTGCCGGGGGGC